TTGAAATCAATCCCAAGTGCTGATTAGCCGCAAATGCAAGATCATAGGCTGAACACTATTACGGTCATGATATAAGTCAGCTATGTTGCCCTATGCGGTCAGCTCGTTAACCGGTATGAACTATACTTTGACCAGCTAATCTACCTTTATATGCAGAAGAAACAGGATTGACGATAATATCCTTTGATCAGATTCCTTTAGAAGAAAGCCACGAGATCTCTCCTGATTGAAAGGGACCTTCTGATGAATCGGCCACGATATTTGGATGAAAGGTCAAATACAGATAAGCTCTTAATAAGCGGTTATAACCTATATATCTGCGTCCTATTTTGAAGGTAGCTTTTGACGTTTAACTTGAACTTTTGACGTTTCCAACGATATGTCTTCAATGTTAAATGCAGTTTAAAATATAACTTGGCGAAAACAAGAAGAAGATCGAAATAGCTTCTATTGAGTTAGTCTCTGTTTTCTCTTAATATTTTATGTAATAATATCATATCAAAACTAAAAATGGTTTATTGGTTATCATTTTTGAATATTCTGTTAAGTTTTCTTTTATCCTAAACATGTATACCTACTGTCACGTGTCAAATTTAACATAGGATAAAAATACGAATTTTAAAAATACAACTTATATCACTAATTTTCAGCAATTAATCATACTACGAGTATATAAAATACTTGCTTAATACCTTTTTGTCGCACTTTTGTTATTTATAAAGGAAAGGAGGTATGTTAAATAATAATATAAATGTATAGAGAGACAAAGGGATTAGAGCAACTAAATACTAGAATTTTTTTAGAGTTAAACATTCAAAAGAAACTGGGCCAACCAGTTTAAGAGTTCTATGTACTCCAGAAACAAAAGTGCCACTCGAATATGAAAGCACCGTCTCTGAAAAATCTTTTTATTTTATTTTACGTTCTTATCTACATACACGGAATTCTACAATATACAACGTTTAATGTAGTGGTGGCAATTTAAAAATTTTTTAGAGGTAGCAAAATAAGAATTATATTACTACGTTAACAGAATTTCTTTGGTGTACTTGGTCGTTCCATTGAATGTTAATATTTATTTACGGCTTTGTGAAATTTTTTATTATGTCAACTAGATTTAAATAACAGATAGCTTGGGGTTTCAATACCGTTGATTCTTGTAAACCTCTAAAAATATTTTACACGATAAATCACATTACAAAGTCTTTCTTATATACTAGCACGATGTTCTGGCGAACGATAAATTGTAAGACACTTCGTTCAAGAAAATGGCATGACATATCGTGCGAGAAAAGGTAAAAGAAGGCAAAATAGTGGGTGCTAGAACAGATAGTGGAACTGCAGGCAAAGGTAATCATCGTCAAGGGACGTAGGGGCTGTTGTCAATAAATACTGACATTTACGCGCCTTCGTGTATCGATCTGAGAAGGAACTGTCTAAGAAAAAGCAACCCAATCCTCATATTTGTTCGATAAACTTCAAACTGTCTGTACAAAGAAATATGTATTATAACTTATAATCTTTTTATTAGATGATAGACACATAATTATATAATATTAATGATACTTCAAATTTTCTTTAATTTCATTGAATTATTCGATTATATTAAATGTGAAATGCTCATTATCGATGTGCTCCAAAATATGTTAAAACCATACTCCGTTTCTTATTACTTATTTTTTATATACGTATGTACCTTTCTTAATACGGTTATCATCCGTGAAAACAATTTAATTATTATTTTCAGGGTTCTTTATACCAATTTTTCTCATACAGATTATTAGTAGAGTTTAATTACGAAGATAATGAGGTTGGCAAACGAAGGGATACTGTCCAATCAAGCCGATGTCCACGGGCGTGGCTTCGTCATTAGCCTGTTATATAAAATCTGTCCCTCTTTCCATCTTATATGTTTTTATGATAATAATGAACAACCGCAGTCTTCATAAATATTAAAACTATTTCCTTGTTCTTTTTTATTTATATACCCTTGACTCGAAGCGCACTACCTCCGTGTAATTTCGTTCATAAAGCTTTATGAAGAATACGATAAATCACTTTGTGAACGATCTACATATTTATGCACGGTTTATGGTAAAGTGAATTTTCAGGATGATCCCGGGGGGGAGGAGGTGTCTCAGACATTTTTGCAAGGGTGTCGCTTCGTCCGCTTCATACAAGGAAATGTTTTTAGCCAACCGAAAGGGGGATGAACGAAGTAAATTGAGAGTGACGTACACGAACGTGTTTGCGTACGAGAAAAGTAAAGGGTCGGTTGGTAATTTCTCGGACTGGCCAGTAGAAGAGTCTCGTATAGAATAGCCGGATAGCTCGTGTCGCAGACCATGGATGTACGGAAGAGTATCGATCCAGGCGTTAAATATTTAATCGCAGGAAGAAAGTTCAATACACTGACGAGGACGGTTGTCTTTCGAAGACAGACCGGACGAACGAAAACGAACACGACAGGAGAAGCATGGTAGCACGCAACAATTCCTCGTCTGGCTGGCCGGTATTTGCCAAGACTGGGTTGACTTTCATTATTTAGAGCGGTGGAGAAAAATGAGGATCGTCGACACGTCGCTGCTACCTCGTATCGATCGTAATTTACCAAACAACTTGCTTATATACCAACTTACAATTTTTCTTCCAACGTTTGTTTGATAACTTACCAGCAGATTTATTGTTCTCTAGGTCTTGGCGCCACCGATTTCCCATGAAAATATTCATAATCATCGTACAAAGTTAATTCAAGTGCATTTATGTAGTCTGAATAATCTAAGGGAAAATTGCCATGAATGCGTATCGTATAAAACGAGATCGTTGGAAGTTAAAAAATAAATTTGGGTTAACCATTCATACATGAAATATATTCAACTCATAAATAGAAACGAGCTGCTGGAACATTTCTATATGAGCTGATCCCAAATGATCTCCGGTAACTGAATCTTTGAGTACGGAAATCGTTGCTAGAATACAATTGCTTTTTAATGAACCGCTCTTCGAGCTTTTCGTTTCGAAATTGCATAAATGTCGTAGGAAATTATTCTTTCGAAATGTATGTCAAATGAAATTAATTTTACACGCTGAAAAGTGTAGTTTTGTTAACGTTTCAAATTGTATCGAACTGGTTGAAAATTACATCACTGCAGTGATTTTGCTCGTACTGCGTCATAAACGATTAGCTGAAAATTTTATTGCTGCTCTCATTTTATAATATATACATTGGAAATTAATAGGTAGTCGTGTATTTAGTTATACAGGATATTAAACTGGAAATTTTTCATAAAGCAATGAATATTTCAAAATCAAATTACCAGCGTATCATGCGAAATAATATTATCGCTATTATTGTCGGACATGGAATGAGATAGTGAATCCATATTTCATTGATTAGTTTAAAAAGCTTAACAAGTGCCAATAAAGATGTTTCTATTGGATTTTTGAAAAATAAGGAATTCTAGTTTTTTCTTCTTCTCGTATTGACAGGCTGCTTGTTACTTGAAGATTCTATTGGAAGCATGCCTAACCAGCGAACGAAGTCGATAAACAGTAGAGAGATATGATCTTTTTAAGGTTGCTAAAGCGAGATAGATAGCTTCTTGTGGATTTCCATTGTTTCTCTTTTCTTTCTCGTTGTAACATTTTTAAAACAGTTTTTAGATAAAAGAACTGTAATGGAAAACATGGTACAACTTTTAGTGCATCCCACATTTCATGTTGACTTTAAACTTTAGGCTATGTCATCAAAATTATTAATGTCCTACATAAATTACTTATCAGGTGAAAAATTAACCAGATGATAAAGAATTAATATTTCATGTTATGGATTACGCACCATTCGAACAGAGACTTATTGACATTTTATTACCTTTTCATATATAGATAAAATATTATTACTTTTACAGTAACAATTTTTAATAAACAATTTTTAATACCGGTTAATGAAAATACGGTAAAGATGAAAAAAAATCAAAGTATGATGTCTGACAAAATGACTATATTTGATTAATTTAAATTCAAAGGTTCTGTTTGCCTGAAAATTGATAAAACACACATGGATGTATCAGAAAATCAATATTTAATTAATGCAGTATATATTTTTACGATCTCATATATTCGATTGAGGTAGGTGTGTGCAATAAATTTCGCTGCAACATTCAAGAATAAATAAAGAGAAAAATAAAAATTCATTGAAAGGTAACCATTTTTTTTTCACTCATAAAGTGATAACATCAATCGATCGTACATATAAATTTAACGGTACATCACTTTGCGCCGAAGAGAAAGAAGCTTCTTAACCGAGTCCTTTTCATAAATTTTTCGTGTTTCGTACAACAGCGATTTAAATGGCGACGAAAGCATGACTTTTAATTGCATGCTTTGGAAAACGCATCGTGCGAGTGCAACGTATCCCCTTGCATCGCGACTCCGTTAATGAGATGGCCGGCTGTGCTGCCTCATCGGTGTTAAAAATGTTCCTCTCGCTCGCTACCAGGAAGATAGGCTCATACACCGAAGGGTCTTTCCTGTATGCACGTATTCCATGCACTAGGTAGTCGCACAACCCCCTGTATCTTACGACAGGGTGCTACGGGGACTCTCGCTTCTTCCTTCTCTGTACGGAAGTTACAGCGCGCTCGCGGGGGTGCTTTTACCGCCTCGCAGATAGCACCAGTAAGTATGTACGTTCTTGGCGCTTGCGCATGTTACGTTCCCTCTTTGTTGCACGTACATCGTTCTATATACTATTCGGCGATTTCTTTCCTTGTTGCTCTTAACCTGGCTGCACCACCGGGATGGAAAGAGAAACAGAAGGAGAGTGTGCGCCAGCCAGCGAAAACCTCACGAGCGAAACGAAGAAAGGTAAAACAGAGGACGGAGACGGAACGGTCGCGAACGAAACAGAGAGAGCGTGCGCAAGGTTCGAGGGAGAAGGAGTGAGAAGGCCGGTGTGCTGCGTGGGGAGCGATCGCAGCTCGTCATTCGAAGCCCGCCAACGGACGAGCGAGCAGCCACGGAACGGGACTGCGATTGAAAACACCCACGCGATCTTTCGAAAATAATAGTACATACGCACGCTTATTATCAATAGCGAACCGAATCAAAGGGTTACGTCTACACGTGACGAAACACCACCTGAAAACAAAAATCAGCGATTGTTTAACGACAGCAAATCAATCTTCGGTGGTACCAACCACCATTCGGTCCACTTGAACGAAGCGCTTCTTTCTTGTTCGGTCCACTTCGGTTAAGATCGTGTCGACCGCAGTGCTTGCCGGTGTCCGGCCTGTGTGTTTTCAATTCGAGACGGTTCGGAGCGACAGAGACAGAAAGGTGACATCCTGACGTGTGGTGAAGAATAAAAGCAAACTGTTGACAGTGATTAAAAGTGACTTGTGTCGAGGATCGTTAAAGGATATTTGTGTCGTGTGACAATTTAACCATTCATAAATAATAAGGGAAGTAATCTGACGGACGTGCTCCAAAAGAAACGGTTAGTTACAAACTGGCACCACTAGAGTGCGTGTTTTATGCGTTTCTATGAAAATCGACACGGTATTAAAGCGTCGCGTGGCGAATGTTACTCGAAATTTCATTTGTGCTTCGATCAGTGTTCGTTTCAGTTAATAAGTAATACGTCGCGATTACTTTCATCCGCGTTCGGAGTGATTCTCAGTGTCGTTTCGTCGTAAACTCAACGTGGCTACCGTTATGTCAGTGCATTGACCAATCTTTGAAACTTCAAACCGGTGTATCAGTCCAACGCCGTTCAATTTACGAGCTCGAGTTTGAGAAGGGTATCTAAACTTCAAGATCAACGACTGAACATTCTTCGATGAAGATATAAAGGTAAACCAGTGAACATTTATGAAATAGAAAACCGGACGAATGAAAGTATCATGAATCGTAAAGACTAGACGCTATCCAGAGTAGCCATATTATACCTCGTGACGTTTACTGCGGTTAAAAAATCAAGATCTTGTTTCGCGCGCAAACGGAGCATTGTGCTGGTACTAATATTCTTACGATTCGCTTACAATTGAATACAAGTGTCAGCGTCTGTACCAATATCAAGAACAATAACAAAATATCCTGAACACGAAGGGAGGAAGGAAGCTTTATCCAACCGAGCGTATTCATACGTGACCTTCGCCGTACACAAACACAGAAGACGCTTGTCATCGAATTAGTTCGCAGCTCTTACAAAAGAGTGTACCCACTGGATTATTCTCTCAAGGTGATATCAAGAGTTCGCCATAGAGTTCTAGTCTTGACATTCGGTTGTACGGTGGCGCAGTGGTGAGACGAGTAAAGCTGCAGTTAGCCAGTGAAATTCAGCTCGTACGTTAATCCGCCGTTAATTCGACTCGGTGTTTCGTGACATTTCGGTGACGCGTGTGATTGGTGCCCGTGAACGAACGATCTTATCGCAGCAACGGGTGAAAAAGTATATACGCGTGTGCAAAAGCTCCTTCCAGTTGTGGATTACATCGGAGCACATCGACGTCGTCGTGTTTACCTCGTGGGAGTGAAAGGAAATGGTCGCCGCGACCTCGTGAATTCCGAAACCGGCGTGTCGATCGAGACAACAGAGAGCGCGTGGCCAATTACTCGCGCACCGTTACCACCCTCGATTAATTGATTAATTAACTTCCTAATTAATTCGTCGAATCGTTTAATCTCGCTTTCACTCGTTACTGCCTGCTATCAAGAATTTTTATCAACGTCTCCAACGGTTGTTCGGTTAAGTAACTTGCAATTTCCTTCTCGCTAACGGCAATCGTAATTACGATTACATCAAGCACGTCGCGGCGGTTTAATACCAGTTTCAATTATCGCCGCGAATAACGCTTCCTCGAGCTCGATTTTCGACCTCTGCATAACCTGCTCCTCGTAGATCCTTTGTCCGATTTAGCCAGGATTACGCGCTAGTCCGTGGGGGCAGTATCTCTGTAATTGTGCCACGCGTACGGTTAAACGCTTGTCTACTACGCGAAGAACAATAAACGGTGGTGTTTCACGTGACGATAGTGCAGAAGCAGCCCACTCGGTCACTTGCAAAAAAGTGAGTATCCTGCCATGTTTACCATTACATGTGACACGTACGTGTACCTACGTATCAAATATAAACATGTGTGAGTCGGTCGATCGGCTCGCACCATGCGCTTCAATACACGTGTGTGCGTATACGTAAGCGCATGTACGAGCGATACCTCGTCGGCATTCATTGAAAACAAAACAACCGTACTCATCCATTGCGGATATACGTATACACATACATGTATGTACGTAGGTACGCGTACGTTTTGTAAGTTAACCAGTTTTCCAACAACATTGTTTTTGTCGGTTTTAATTAATAATTTCGTGACGGAAATTCAAACGTAATGGACACGCGTGTATCCTACGTTGAATAATTTCACTTCTATTTATTTTCATATTTATTCCATCGAGTTCGATGAGAATCGTTAAACCAACAGATACATATTATATTATCGAACAGTGTCTGGGTAGAGATAAAATTGTAATTAATTAATGGAAATATTTGGTTATGTGTGAGGTTTCCCAGTAGTACGTATTCATGCTATGTTTACCAAATTTTCTTGGTAGTTATGTTTCAAGGCTTTATTGGAACGCCTTATAGTTTGTAAATACTCTCATGCCTTGTTTTTCTTCGTTTATTTATCATAACTGTATTTCTTTCAATCGAAACTGCTGGTTTAAGTTTGAATTCAAATTCATCCACGAAACACTTTAAGAAAATCAGATTTTGACGTAGTAAATCCGAAAAGCAAGGCGGGAGAGTAGGAACGAAGAACGAAAGGAAGAATAAAGATAGAAATAGAGAATGGGAGAGAAATCTTTCAGCTAAGGCTGGTCCTGTCCTGCTGACAGGACAGCGAACTATCCGACAGCTTGGTAGATCTTTAATGGTCTTCTTCTCAACTGAATGTATACTGTTTCATACTTTATTCCAGTTTCCCTTCTTCTCGCTCCCTTAGGCTCGACCACGTTTCGCGTTTCACTCTCGTTCTCTTCCGACTCACGTCGTAAACGTGTCTTTCGTGCAAGAACGCAATAAAGTTCCGTCTTTCCTTCGAGATCAGCCGGGACTACGGCCCTGGAAGCAGGTGACTCTGTTCGAAACAAGATTCACCCGATGGGGGGTCCTTTGCAATGAAGAACGAACATTGATCTGGTATCTCGCTGAGAAGATCGGAGCTGACGGTAGATGCGAATCCAGAAATTAAATTCGGGAATTTATGCGTTTATTACTTGAATAAATTTTGTAGAATATCATTAGTAATCTCGCGTTAAACGATACGTTGCAAAAATGAAATGAGCATGTAGAGAAACAGAGTAGGAACTAAGGTCGACGAGTATAGTAAAGAAGTTTGTAATCGATAACCATCATTAAAGTCAGGGTGTTAACAACTGTTATCATAAGACGTCTCGATATACATGTTCATTTTCAATGGGGCGCTCGACGTGAGAAAGACACAGGAGTCACGGAAGTTTGTGGTCAGACTACACGTGACGGCAACAACTACTTCCCAGCGCTTAACACTTTCATTCTTTGCTCTGTTCTTGCCCGTTTCATCGGCTCGTTCCTATCCGATACCATGTGGCCGTTTACTTATACAAAACATTCGCAAGTGCAATGTCATCAAAATGAATCCGGCTTGGTGTTCCCCTCAAGGTTTTTACCTTGTTGCGAGTAATTGATTTTATTTCTTCATCGTTTCGTTCCTCGTACACGAAGTTTTATTTCGCTTCTCAATTCGCTCGTTTCCTGTTACCGTATTTCGTTTTTACATTCTTCGCGCATAAAAGGTAGCCATTAGCAAGCAGCATTCGAACCAGTTTGCCCACCCGAGACGACGACGTTGTTCTTTTAACAAATCCCATGATGCCATCCCGATGCTTTTCCAACGGGAACGTTTTATCCTAGCGAAAAGTTATATCGAGCCGCGATGACGAAGTTTTTGTTCGCGCTTAAGCTGCAAAATACGTTGTTAGTATTCCGTTAAGGTACAAGACCGTATCGCGGTACAAATTAAGTTCAGCTTTCTTTCTTACGATTGCACGAGAGTCGGCGGGCTTTTACTTTCCTTTTATTGTCTATGGTAAAATCTCCTTCGCGAATACTTAAGGAATAGCAGTCTTCCTTGAATCGTTAATTAACTTGAATTCTCGGATTTTAATTACACGTTCAGTTTACGGCTTTATTTAAGCGCGCTAATACCCTCGATCTTGTAACACGGAAAGGCATTAAATACTCCTTTTCACGACAACTTATTCCGTTATTATACATTTTAGCGCGTTAAAGTGTAATTAGATTAAATTAGGTTTCTGGTCATTGCAGGTGACCGGTACGACACACAGTTTTCTTCTGGAAGTGGTACGCAAACGGCCTCAAGATTCAGCTGGACATCATGCCCTGGTTCATCCTATTTCTTCTACTGTTAGCCGTGATGGAGGCCTTCCCTCGGGAGGCCACCTGTTCCCGCCTGCCGGACATCTACTGGAACTCCACCAATCCAATGTAAGTCACAACTGAATCTTCCTCTTATCTCGTTTACCGTATCATTGCGATGTAATTACCTTCTACCGCGTGCTGTTCACCGTTGATTTATGCTGCGAAGATTGCTACAATTCTATTATCGTACGGAGGATCGTATATTTTTAAATAGATATGTACACAAATGAAACGAAAGAAGCACTTAGATTTGGAGTTTAATAGTATTAGAATAGCCACAAATTGTGTTTAGCGAATGTTAGTCAGAACCATAATCACTAGAAACACCGAAAACATTATCCTGCACCCCATGCGAAGAATGCAAGCTCCGTTTAATCTCACCCAAGATATTACCGTGAATGTCCTTGTTCCGGATAGGAGACGACCGCATTTTCACCCTGAAGCATTCCACGAATGGTAACGCCTCCTCGGGAGAAGCGAGCTTCGTGCTGTAGCATCGTTTCGATTATAGAGATCCAGTGCGATCTTTATCGTCATTTATCCGGGTATCATAACATTTTATGCTCGAGATCATATTTTCCAACTTTATGTTTTCATATCTTCATCCAAGCCGCTCCCCTTTTCGCAATACTTCATTATACCTTGCATTTTTTCTATATTCTCCCCTCGAGGACTCTTATTATGTCCACCTCGTCGTTTATTTTAATTTGCATCACGTTTCCTCGAAGAATGCTACGCATCGTCCTTGTAATAATTCTTCAAACACGTCGGTAAGACGAAAGCGTGGCGGGTACGATTTGCTGACCTTCTTCTTGCTTTTTATTCCTCGTCGGCTCGGGCCATTTCGCCGCGGACACGATCCTCGTGGCTGTTGATCGTCGATCGTGAGTCGTGACGTATCGCCGCGATATTTCTTCTTGTGGAACCGCGGATACACGCGTGACGAGGCTCGAGTACGTGTGGACGGTTCCGTTCGATCGGTTTCCTTTTCCCTTCACGGCGCGGCGTGGCAAGCGGAGGGAAAAAAGGGCGGAATTGAAAGCCCAACGAAAAAGGTCCGACGCGTTCACGCCCCTACCGGCTTCAGGATGTACGTGCGTTGCCGCGGGCGACTCTCGGAGGTCGAGCATTATAAATGTACCGGGTGGGTCGAGTCGAAGCGTCGAAATCGATTTACTTAGCCGGCTTTCGACCCCCGTGGGTCAAGTGCACCGCAATCTCGACGGTTACGTGCACTAGCCGGTGCATACGTGCATACGGGATGCAGATACGTGTGCGGCATCCGACGTGATGGCGTTAAAGAAGCGTAAGTCGAGGAGAAGCAGGATTTTACAAGCATTAAAGTCGACTCGACGTCGAGAAGCGAAGATCGATCTGTCCTCGAGTTTCGTTGGGTGGTTGACTAATGCGATAGAAAGGGATGGCCGAGCAGAGAGCCGGGTGAGCTCGGTTAACGGGCAAAAACCAATTCGTTGTTGAAACGGGATTGAATGTCGAGCGTTGTCGTTCGCGTTTTATCGTCTAAATCGATGGGTATTCCTCGTCGAATCCACGTATCCGCGCGTGCTTCGACAATGAAAGACGTTAGTGTCGTGTTTTTGAAGTTCAATTTCCCGTTCATTATCGAGGGGTGGGATAGCGTTTCACTTTCGATGCACCAAAGGTTGAACAGAGGTATTTGGTAAAGTCAAGATCAGGTTACGTTATACATCAATTTATCCATTATATTATACTTGAAACAATCCACGCACATATTGCAGTTGTTTGTACATATTCGAATTGCATTTAATGCTCTGAGAGTTACCAAATCTTATTTCCATGTAGTATGTTATCCTCTTAGGGTAGATAGAGTAGAGAATTTATCTATTTTTTGTCAAAATAGTCAGCGACGTAAAGACGTAAAAAGAGAAGGGTGTTACGCGGAATAACAGAGATCGTAAATACGAAAAGGGAGTCAGTAATTTAGTCCAGGACTTCTCATGAAAATTTCACAATTTTCACGGATGACTTTGATTCCAACCTCTGTCACGACTTCGAGGGGTAATCGAAGGAAAGAAGAAGGTAGAAAATACTTGTCTTGAAACTTTGTCCCCTTTTGCACCGGTTTCATTCGAGGAAATTGACTCTCGACCAGAGTGAATCCTCTTTGTGCACACTGCACTATATCCGCGATGAGAATAGTAGCAAACTATAAAAGAACCCCGTGCTCGCGAATTGTCCCGTGTACATATGATACCGCACCAGTGTATGGGTGAACGGCCGAGTGTGTACATCTTCATCGATAAGCATTGAGTACAGTTTTATTCGTCGTAAAACCGGGGAAAATCGACTTCTACTTCTTTGTGGAACGATCCATATCGACCAGGCAGGTCATCTCATTCTTTACATTCTTATCGCGAGTTTACATCGAAGTTTTCTCGTAGACACTCATTTACATCATTTTAATTAGCTGTCGTTAAAAATCCTTGATGTTCATTAGAAAAGAATGTTAGTAACTTATATACTACCCCGTTCCTTTTGATTTAACCATTGTGTTAATAATTATAATATTCTATGACATTCATCCTCGAATCCTTCGGAGGTCGTTTATGTTCTTCTGGATAGCACTCGAACCGCTTATGGCAATTTAACAAACGTCGAATGCTTGGTGCACCGCAAATAAAGGCAGAGTCTGGCTGGCATAAAATGAGACACGTTCATACGTGGGTCGTTTAAAAAAAAAAATAAAATTGGATATTTGCTTAATCGCCCTCGACGCTTCGACTCACTTTCAACTTCGGTTGGTCCCCTCGTTTCTGACTTCCCCGTTCCGTTTCTCTTTCTGCTGCTGCTGGTTCCCCGGCTTCTCCCGGCCCGGTCTGCTGGCTTTCAACGCGATTGATAATTTATTTAAGTACCGCCAGGTTAAAGCATAACTACCGTCCGAATCGGCGAAATCAAAACGACCATGCCGCGGTGGTCATTGCGGCTGCCAGGCATTAGTCCATTGTTCGATTTTTAATTTACCTTCGAACCCTTCCACCGATTTCATTCTCATTGTGCGTTTGTCATGCCAACGTTACACGCAATCATACCAGTCATTCAACGGCAGTAATACTCGGATAGCTTCCTGTCAAATGATCTCGCGTAAAATCGATCGATCCTCGTTTTTAAACGAACACCGATCGCACCGATATTTTCTGGGTCCCATATGTGGGCACTACTGAAATTGTTCGTTTCATTAAAAGCTTTATTCCGTGTTTCCTTTAGCAAGAATTCACGCGTGCGTTCATGTATGATCAAGTTAATCAGATAATTTTATAGATACTGTAATGCGCTAATATTTGAGTGTGTAATACAAATACTTAGCCAGCGTGTACACGGTATTTCATTTTGTTCGTATAGTAGACTCTACATTTGATCGATCAGTAAATTACGAATTCGACGAATTTGTATCGGTAATACAAATACTTTTTATAGTCTCCGATTTTCCGTTTCCCCTATCGATTCCATGTTACCCCTAGCAACCAGCTCTGTATCGAGTCACATTATCTCGATTCGAGAATGCACTTGATCACGGAATAAAGCTCGTTGAAAACACGGTACCCTTATTTTCTCGTAACACTCTCTGTTACTCCAGTTTCCCTTTAGTAGGCTGTTTGTCGGTTTTCTTGCATGTACTACTTCGTAGTCACGCATTTTCCACTTTCTTTCGACTTTATTTCTTCGCGCAAATCCCTTCGTAGAAGTTTTCGCGTTGTTGGCCGAGGTTAAAGCCCTTATACCAACGCGATGCAATTCTGTTAAATCGTTGCATTGAGAAATATTCAAATTGCCGGTGTCAGCGCAAATGAAACGAAGTCTCTTCCGGCATACGAGTGATTCTGATTTAAACGCATATTAACACGAAACGAATCGCGGATATACGGAAATAAAATACGACAAATTGACCGGTTACGTTTCCTCGAAAATCCTGCAGTCTGCTGTAAGACGAACGGTAACTGCTGTATCGTTGTCGACCTATTTCATTCGTTTCGAGTCGTTCCACGTTATTACATTATTCGAGCATATTATCGCACGTGGACTGCAGCTTGAATTAGTAGCCGATTCTTGCCCCGGTTTAGGTCTAACGAGCTAATTCGAATGGTTGTCACGATTCACCTTGTCCAATCGAACGGTAGCTCCCACGGAAATTTCATGCTAATCGGTACGATTACCTCTCGTGCTCGTTTCATAAAACCCAATAGAACAATTCTAAAAAAAATGTCTGAACGATGAGGAAGGGAGAAACGCGTATTGTTCAACGAAATTCAATCAATATTTTAAATTTCAAATAACACCATCATTGTATTTTGTCCAATTAAAATTCCACGAAAATGATGCATTGAATATATGATTTTCATGCAGATCAGTGAAATCCAACCACGTGCTCTTTGTCGATACGTCGCGGTACGGTATTAAACATAATATTGTATAGATTGGTACACTACGCGTGTACGGATCCGAGTTCGACAAATCCGCGATGCGTTTATATTATGAGGGTTACATAATAATTCCCATTGGATAGTCGGGGATCGGTTTGTAGGGAGAATAACATGTCCTGCCGTTGGAACTGCGGAGATGATACATTCCGTTGATAGTTATGTACGCGGTTCGTGCATACATTGGCCGCCTTTATAACCACCGCGTTTGCACGTACAAGCTACAGTACGTTTCACACTGCGGCCTGGTCGTTCGCAGCAGTGCAGCGGTTCGGCCAGAATACGATGAGATTAAGGTACAAGCTTCCTGCCGGCAATGAATTATGTCCCAGCACGGCACGCGGAGATGTTTCTTCGCCGGTATCGCGCCAGCTCGGCTCCGTATGTGAAGCCCTTACGTATGTTAGCTTGCCGTAATGGTAGCCAGCCCGGTACCATCCCCTTTCTGGACACTAATTCACGCTCTCCGCGCGCTCACGGGAATAAAATTAACGCTGCGCCGTGAAGAATCGCGCGACGATTTTCAGGCAACCCCTCAACCGGACGACTAAATTATTAGGGAGCAGAGTGGCTGGAACCGAGACTCGGTTAAATTGTTCCTTTTCT